TTTTTTATATTTTAAAAAAAGAAAATTAACATAAGACATTGCAGTATCTAATTTTTTAGGGTTTAGGATTTATGCCTTCATTAGCTTATTTTTTTTGTAAAAAGAAAATATTGTTAGAATATTTTATATTTATAAATATCGTTAAAAATTATCATATAATATATAACTAAAATTATATATATATATTCTCTATATCTAAATACTTCCGTTTATATAAAAAAAATTTATATATCTAAAAAAAATTATCTTATGTTTTTATATTTCCGTTTTTACATGTTTTTTATAATGACTGAGATATTTGATTCATTTGGATAGCCAAGATGTAATGACCCGCCAGGTCTCACACTGTCTATAGTGTTCAGATACAAGTATAAAATAAAATCTCACTACTAAACAATTATACATATAACGAGAATACACAACTAAAAAGTCCCATAATATATATAATTGAAAGTAGGAAATAATACCCTATACAACAACTAGGTAGTCAAAAGCTACCAATCAACTAAATACAACGTTAGCCCTCCTTCTGAGTCCCTACCAAAAAGAAGCTCACCCAGTCCAACAGAGCACCTAATCCTGATCTGCTCGCATACCCAACCACATAGGGAAAACATGTTAGGGTAAGCTCACAACAATAATCATAAAAAAATAGCATCAACATATAATAAACAGCAATAGAATTATACTTTCAACTTACAACATCTACAACAATAGATATACAATATCATTAAATAGCGACAACATTTTCCACACATTGTACTTTATTCAAATTGGCCGCTTGTAATCGGTATAGTTTGGTCTGGCCTCTATACCATGGTCGCTTCATACATGTATGCCTCAACTTTGCCCACACACGGGACCAACTAAGTCCTAGAGGAGAACAACACATCATCCACTCCAAGGGATAACTTTCCAATGAGGGTTTTTAAACAAATTGGGCTCTCAAAGCACCACAACTATCTCAATCCGCACAATGGGATGAGCAACTTTGAAAACTTCTCCTCTAGTCCTAATGATCAACAACTCATCACAACACAATCACAAAGAATTTATCACAATAGCTCAACTATCAACTCATTCATACAACATTATATACAACTTGAATGCAACAATCCATGCAACATCAACTAATGCGTTGTCACGCATATACAACTAGGAGATCTCCAACAACTGAGGTTGAGCAGTCTAGGTGGCATAAACCCTACCGGATCCAACGTTTGACCTATCTCAACCAGGTCAGGTATAAGGCATCGTTAGGAACTTCAAAGAGAACCAGATATAGACAACAATAGACGATTGCTTAGGTGTGCCACTTAGACTCGGAGGTCCAGTACTACTGTCAGGGTAGAAGGGTTTGGGTATGAACCTACCACGGCCTTGGTCTGCATAACCAATCCACATATGAGGTTAGTCCACCCATTACCCTCCAAGTACCACGCACCCTCCAGTACTTAGTCAAAGACTACATCTCTAACTAGATACTTTACTCAATTTGGTCATTCAACCATGACATGGATCGACTACTTCCATGTCATCCACATAGTACTAAGGGATTCAACTTTAAAACAACTTTCAACTTATCACCTTAGTACTATGTATCTCAACATAGGACATATATCTTCACCATTTGTCCCTAACTTTTTAACTTTACAACAATAGGCAACTTTACAACTTTACGACAATAGACAACTTTACAACTTTACAACTATAGACATCATAACAACTTTACAACTATAGGCATCATAACAACTTTACAACAATAGGCATCATAACAACTTTACAACTATAGGCATCATAACAACTTTACAACAATAGACATCATAACAACTTTAAGGCAACTTTCAACTTTACAGCAATAGGCATCTTTATATTACTTAATTAAAACAACTAGAGCAACTATAGTCAACACAATATCAACTTTACATCAATGAACTACTTCAACTTATACATCTCAACTTATTAATAATTCAACAATAAACAACATACAAACAACTTAATTTCACCAAATACGCAACATATAGCAACTTTAACAACATATCACATATTATCAACACATAACATATAAACAACTTAGGTCAACAGCTACTCAACTCATCTTCATCAGGCAACTTAGCAAGTTAACCACGTTATAAACAACTTCTAAAACACAAGAACAACTACATGCAACCACTAATTTAAATCAATCATATCTTTTTCTTTCAAACAACAAAACCCAAATTTTTAACTCAATCTGCACCCAACAACTCAACCATTTCAAGGAAAACAATGCATGAAGCTTCCCTTACCTGAATATTGGCTCTGAACAGCCAAGAATTCGGAAATAAGAAAAACTCTCCTTCGAGCTCGACTCCCGAACTTCAATCCTTCAAAAGCTTCCTAACAGACCAGAGCCCTTCTCTCTAAACTTCTCTCCCTTCCTCTCCTTCTTTCTTTCCCTTTCTCTCCTTCCTTAATGCCTATTTATAAAGGTCAGGAGTGGCCAGAATGGCCCGTTTAAAATCTGGAACGACCCTTTTTGGACTCTTTCATCATGTGTAAAATTCATATGCAGAAAGGTCCGTTCTGACACGTCTAGAACGACCCATTCCCAAATCAGAACGGCCCATTCTGGAGTTGAATTTAACTCACAACAACCACGTTTGGAACAGCCCGTTCCAGTCTAGGATTTATAGGCCGGTTTAGTAGTTTGGAATGGCCCATTCTAGGCTACTAAATCACCTATGGCCTTCTGAAATACTTACTACGTTACACAAGATATATTCGATCTTGTATGATTGGTGTGCTTCTAAAAATAATAATATAATTTTATTGATTTTGTCTCTTATCCATAATTATTTATATAACTAGTTTTCAACATATATTGTTTTAGTAATTCAAATGGGAGATTCACAAGGAAATAATAAAGGAAAAGGAAAAGAGAAAGAAAACTATGAAGCTTGGACCAAGGAGGATTCCGATGAATTGTTACAATTGATAGTGGATGCTATAAAAAGAGGATAGGATATTATGGAGAATTATTATTATTATTTATCTAGACATTATTTCATCCTTCCTCGTCTCAATCCACAAAATTCTACAAAATCCACAAAATCCATTAAAATTCCACAGAATCCATTAAAATCCTGATTTAAATGTCTTATAGAATCTATTAAAATCCTGATTTTAAGTCTTATAAAATCCTGCAAAATCTTAAAAGTCATGAAAATCCTGCAAAGTCTTTTAAAATCTGCAAGATTCTTTTTAACTAAAAAGTCCTTTAAAATCTTAATCCAATACACCCCCGTAAGTTTTATTTTTTTTTTTAAATTATTTACTTAAAAAAACTTGACATAAATTTATACAAAAATTTATTAAGCATGATAAATCAATTTATTTTTATCTATATAATACAACAAAAGAATAATATACACATTATATTTTTAATAATATACTT